GTATGCCTGCCATAGTGGTCAATCGGTGGGCCTCACATCTGGAGTCCTTGGACTACTTCACGGCGCCCGAATACACCTGCCTAAAAGCGATAATACTGGACTGGATGAAGACTCAGGGCGTGGCCTGGAGCGACCCTTATGACTGGGAGCGCAACTATTCAAACATCTATAACAAGCATCTATCGACTGGAAGTCGTTCCACAAGCAACCGGTTCAGGCAAAAGCGACCTACTGAAACCGATGACACACGCGCAGAACGTGACCTCCGATTCTCCAAGGCCGGCGATCCAACGACCATGGCTTTCACCCTACCTAGCGAGCATGTCAACCAGAACGGTGACAAGACTGAGAAGAATGAGGAGGAATTTGAAAAAGTGTTACTGGCTGACGGAAGAGGTGAGCAAACATTCTCACACGTGTTCTTCTCTGATATACAGTCTCGTTGTCTCAACATTCACCATCCACTTGCTTTTCCAGAGAATGCGTTTGTCGCATTAGAGCTGGCACAATATGCAAAGGCTTATTCATGTAATAGCTGAACGAACTGCAAAATGTGCTGCTTAGGAGGAAAGAAGATATGAATGTGCGTTAGGGACGCAAAGGTAAAATATCTACGATAGGGCTTTACGTCAAAAATATGCCTTTGAATAGGTTTGTTGGAAGAACGCAGGAATAGTCACCCCAGGGACTTTTAAGGCTGGAGGATTTACAGTCGATCTACCTCATGAGAACCTTTTTTCAATTACATGCATTTGTAACTCTGTCGTTTGCAACTACCTTTCACAATGTATGCAAATTCCCAAATTCGTTGGTCCCCGAAATTTTGTGTATCAACAATTGACGAGCCAAAAAGACCACTAAGTTTGCCCTAACCTCCTTCCTTGAAAGTGTCCTGCATTTCCTCTCTTCATAGCCACAATTTCCCAAATTTTTAACAAACAAGATGTACAAAGTGCAAAACATAAATACTGCTACACGAAGCACATACAATTGAAATTACTATCGCCCTGTCCATGTAGTGGAGCTCAGAAGAGCTGTGCTCTTTAGTTGTCCTGCCAATGCTAAGTGGGTCAATCAACTGTTATCTCTGATCTTAATTTCCCCTGGGCACCTAGTGGTCGTCAGAAATCTTTTCCACTGACCTTTAGGACTAGAATTGCTCGACCATGCCTCAGTAACGAAGAAGGCGTTATCCTTAAGGTGAATTATGCTGAAGAACTGCTTATCGTGTATGTGTCAGATGGCAGGGTTTAAAGGGACTGTAACGGAATGGGCTGGCAAACAGATTGGAAGCTTGTCAGAGAGCCCAGTCATACGCTGATAAACAGGAGCTTGAAGTTTGCTAGCGAAAAGTCCCGCTTCTGATCCGTTACACAGCGATCTCGTAATAGGTTGCTTTCGAAGGTATCGCCCTGGATTATGCGCGTTCGTCTGTAGCGAACTAGGGATGGTACTTAGGACGAAATTTCTGTAATTGTTGTCGAGCTCTGTTTCAAACTGGGCACACGATAAAAACGCTAGCCGGCAGGCAGCTTTTCCTGTCAGGGTCAAATATTTCCAGCCAGCGACACGTTAATCTAATTAAGTGCAAGTAGGTTCTGATTTCTGTTACGCAACGCGATGTAGACTTTTTTTCATCAGAGAAAATACTTCACAGGGGTGAGTTATTGAAACATCAAGGTAATTGGGCTAGTTGAATTTACTCGAGCCTAGAAGGTGATAGCCACCGATAAATGTAATAAAGACTGAAGCAGAAGAAGACTCGATCGCTGGGACAATACGTTTACTCGCCTGACGTTTCGACATCCGTCGCGGATTCATCATCAGAGACATGAGTAGGAAACAGTAGCAGAATCCGCGATGATGATGAATCCGCGACGGATGTCGAAACGTCAAACGAATAAACGTATTTTCCCAGCGATCGAGTCTTCTTCTTCTCAATTGCTCCCTGGGACTCGCATGTTCGCTTGTATTGGCAAAGACTGAAGCTTTGTCTTGTATTAGCGGATTATTTCAATACCGGATAGTGTTGCCGGCAAAGACAATAGAAACTGCAATGGCCAGTTTGGGCGCATTAGCAGTCATCAACCAGTCATACCCTACCCCAAGTAATGCGCCACCCGAGGCTCGAACTCATGACTTTTGGATCAGCGGTCTACCATTCTAAAAATTAAGTCACGGGTGCATCGTTTTGAAGGTTTAGATCTGGCTCAATGGTTAGAGCGTAAGACTTCTGATCAAAATGTCGCGGTTTCGAGCCTCGGGTGCGGCAGCACTTGGGGTTGGGTATGAATAGCTGATAAGGGTAAATGGGCCAGAAGTGGCCATTTCAGCCTCCTTTGTCTTTGCCAGCAACTACTACTAGCTGCTTCTGGTGGGAATTGAGAACGAGACGAATGAATTTCGTTAGTGATCCGTGAACGTTAATGAACAATTTCAATATCTTCTGCCATTTAATAGTCTGTGCTCTAAATGTAGCGTAGAGCTGATATGCCCAGTCCACCGGACATGACTTCAACATGCATCATTTCTCACCGGATTCTTACATTCCTATAGGCCTGACATTTTGAAGTAAGACCACTGTCGAGGACTAAGAGTCACCGTTGGAGGGGATAGTTCAGTAAAATAATGAGGAGCTTGCTAAAAATTAGCTCCACTTCTCATGAATAAACCAAAAACCAGACTCCTCTATGAGTTATGTTACCAAGTAGTTTCATCTTCATTTAGCAGAATGACGTCACGAAAAAGACGGAGATGAAGACTTCATACTTGGAATATTGCAAGTTTTTTTTTGCTAAAAGAACTGCTTAAAGGTAAAACAAACACCAAGAGTTTAAAAAAGGTGTAGTTGACTAGTTCCTCCAGGTATTAGGGATTGTGCCAAAATTCGTTTGTATTTCTCAGGCCCTTGAGATTGTGTCGTACCTCACTATTCTCCATGTTGAGTTGTGTACACCAAAAGAGGCACAAAGGACTACAGGGTATTGAGTAACGGCAATCCTTCTGCAGAAAATTTCATCGACCTTGCTTGTTCACGGGCAAAGTCACGAAGTTCTCTACCTGTGGGAATAATCAGGGGTTCTCATCAAGGGGCCGTGACTCTAAAACGCTGACTGAACTTGGGCCTAATATACCCCTTGTCTCTTTGCACAGTAGACACGGATTCTCGACCTCGCTTCTCAGCATCTCTACTCAGAGGTTGAGCATATACACTCGATGCTTCATAAATTCTTCGCCATTTTAAGCTACAATTGAGCGCTTAAGTGAGCGCATCCTTGGTGCAAGTTTACTTCTAAGCAGCTCGCGGTCCTATGACTTTTATCGACCGCTTAGTTTGTGCCTGACTTCAAGGCGTGGCACAGTCACCTATCGTGTACAGATAAACCACACCAATTTCAACCTGCTGCCTCGCACCCCCTAGCGCGGGCTTTCTTTTACATTTCAATGTCTAATTAACCAGTGACAAGCGGTTTCGTTAACTGCGTGATGGCAGTTATGTAGCATGCGGCTGACGTCTGATCGTGCGAGCTTTCATGCGTAGGATTCGCCCCCTCTCCTCCTTCTCCTCCGAGTAAGCGAAGGACCCAGTGATAAAAACTGTCATTTCGTTCGCAAGGTAAAATAAAAGCACGATCAGATAAAATTTAAAGGTAGATATTAAGAACTAAAAGGAAGAAAGAATCTTAACGGCGGCCTTAATTCTTGTCCCTATCCGATCAATACAGTAACCGAGACTAAATCAACGGTTTTATGCGCTTGAGTTGAGGTAAGACAAGTCTAATCAACCGATATTTTAGAGTTTTACGCACAAATAACAATTGTTTATGGAATGTGTACGATGCACATAGCGCTAAAAAAGTAAACCAAGTTGAATTTTGTCGAAATTTTGAGTCCGATAGTCAATTGCAGCGGAGAACCTTGAGGACAATCACTGCCACTGTTTTTACTCCTTTATGTAGTCTATAAAAAACCAGTTCCGACTGAGAATGGTGTCATTCGCAAGGAATCAGCCAACTCGCTTCCGCTACTACCACCACGCGCCCCATCGAAGTCATCGCCAATACCCTCCGTTTCCAGGAAGATCTCCTTGAAGAGCCTCTGCTCAAAATTCACAGAGGGACATTCTCGGCGCGATGCTGCAAAGGAAGCTGCAAAGTAGGGCATCTGCTCAGTTACCCTATATATTAACCGCGCCCCCCCTTCTTGATGGCAAACAATTGTATATCTTTCACCCCTCCCCCCAACTCTCTCCCTCCTCACAGGTCATCCCTCTCCCTTACAGGAACTAGAAAGCCAACATGTTTCAGATTCTTAGGTGACCTTCTTTTATAGAAAAAGAATCTTTTTCCTCCAGATATTCAACATATTTGTGCATCAGCGCATTTACGGATGCATCTAACATCGAGGTGTTGTGTGCTGTCTAGGTCTGTTGCCTAATAAAAGCTGGGTGTTAGCGGAAGTCCTGTTTTGGAATTGCAAACATTTCCATCAAAGAATTTCGGTGAGCAGTTGGCGAGCATACACGTACCTTCTATAAATTATAATCGGGCCAGTGTAGGGGGCCGAGGATGTCGAGATTTGCACACACCTAAGGGAATAGATCACCTATTCAGGTCTCCGAATTTAATGCCGAACGGGGTTGTTAATCACCGCAACACACAAACACATAGGGAGAAAAAAGAATAACCATATAGTAACAAATAAGAGATGTTACGATAAAAGAGTCGGCGGAAAGAAAGACGAGGAGGGATACGATACGAAAGATTACCAAGAGCCTGTACAATCGATCCATTTGGAGTGAGGGGTGGTCACAGAATCTCAGTTAGACACCGGTGAGGAGTGCAGCGCTGTGGGCAACTGCGGGTGAGGGCCATGGGGGTGCTGACGGTAAGGAGACGACGATACGATACGTCATGAGAGGGGGGGGGA